ATAAACTAAAAGCCTCTTGTTTATTACAACATCTGATCTGGTTTGTTTTTGGACATTCACAGCAAAGGAGCACAATCAAGCCTTCAACTGATGCAGCGAGAGTACTGACTGAGATCATTTTTTGTCCCACATTACCTTCTATTCTTTGGCTCTGTGCTAAATCCAGAACTGAATTGATAATCCTTCTCCTCACATCTTGATTAAAGACCTCATAGTACCATATAATCCTAACAGAGCACTTCACTCTCAGACTGCTGGATTACTTGTAGTTCCTAAAGTATGACTGGGAGGCAGATCCTTCAGCTCTCAGGCCCCTCTCCTGTGGAACCAGCTCTCACTTTGGGAGATTTGGGAGACAAACATACTTTTAAGATTAGGCCTAAAACAGTTTGATAAAGCTTATAATTAGGGCTGGAACAGGTGACCCTGAACCCTCCCTTAGTTATACTGCAATAGACTCAGGCTGCTGGGGTAATTCCCATGATGCACTGAGCATTTCTTCTTCACTCATCACTTCATTAGCTGTGTTTTTATACACGACTACTGTATTTAATAAATAGTAATTATTAAACCCTGGTTCTCCCATAATGTTTCTTTTATTCTGTCTCTTTCCTCTCACCCCCAACTAGTCATGGCAGATGGCCGCCCCTCCCTGAACCTCGTTCTTCTGGAGGTTTCTTCCTCTTAAAAGGGAGTTTTTCCTTCCCAAAGTCACCAAGTGCTTGCTTATAGGGGTTGTGAGTTTCTTTGTAGTGTGCACTTTATATTACCTTACTAAGTGCCTTAAGGTGACTGTTGTTGTGAGCTGGCACCAAATACAAATGAATTGACTTAAACTACTGTATATTAAACAGATGCCTGAGAATAGCAGAAGGTAAAGTACAGAATATCCACACAGTTATGCCAAACCAATAACTGAGGTGAATGATCTGGAGTCTGAAGACTGCAAGCTAGTTAAGGCATTTCACTCCATTTTCACTGCTCCGCATGCACATAACATGCCTCAGTCTCCTCGCATTAGATGCCAAACACACCCTCAGACTTTGGTGGCCTATTTAATCATTTATTGGGTTAAAAAAAACATTTGGTGAGTTCAGTGGACATCCAAAGAAGGTTCTATCCCATCTTTGCAATCCATCAGCAAAGATCAGGCTGTATCACAGATAGTGACATGTTATTTAACCCTAACCTTAGTTATACGTAATTAACCTTAATTTTCAACATAAAGAATGAAAAATGTTGAAATGAAGTCACAAAAACTTCCACCCTCTCCCTTTGAGGTGCTGCCCTGCTCTGCAACACTCCCTGCTCTTACAGCCACTCCACTGCCAAAGTGCCCACCTGTGGGCTCTGCAGGGATTTTTGCTCATTACTGACTGAGCTTGAATGTTAGACAGCAGACTCTAACCATATTCTACTGTGGTTATAAATGATTTCAAACATGAATAGCTTAACTTACCTTTGAAAATTATCGGTTGCAGTGATAGCAGCATGAAAAATGCATTTCTAACAGCTTTGTATTTTGTGTGATCAGATCTCAAACCTTTACCTGATGCTGTTCATTGCGGTCAACCTTTGTGCACAGTACACTCAATCCATAGCTATTTTGTTATACTGCACTTGAGAATTACTGTTTATTCAATGTTAGTGAAGATATAAATTTCTTACTTTCATCTTACTGTTTTCAAGCAGTAAACCAAATTATATCTGCATGCCTTGATATGGTTCTAGCTAAAGTTTAGTGATTGTTTTTAATAGAATCAGCCATATGACTGCTTTGCAACAGGAATATTCAGCTGTACGGTTTAAAAGCTGCATGTAAACAGTTTAACCTGAATTAGACCTTTACTGGAGAATAGCCAGTAGCCGAGGTAAGGACATGCATATAAGTGCGGTCTGAGAGAGAAGCAGAGAAATCAAATGAGGGACTTGGAGTTGAAAGTAAAGAGAGTGTCTGTAGAGATTACACGGATGGAATTCTATGCGCTAGGTATGCACGCGTGTTTAATTTGGTGTAATAAGTGTACGAATCTGAGTATGTATGCAGGCGTGGTTGCAAAAAGTTTAATGTGTGTAATAAAAAGATTCTGAGAGCATGCCTGAGTGACTGTAAAAGAAATGCAGAGGGCATTCTCTTCAAACGGGTGGTATTCAAAGAGCAGGCACTTTCAAAAGGAGACAGCACTGAGGGCAGCCGAGTTTGAACTGTGTTTGTGCAAAGCAGTCTGCCTTTTAAAAAAAAGACAAGCAAAGAATTAATTCCTGAAGTGCATTCACTGAGTTTTCTTAGAAAGGGAGCAAATTTTAGGGGATATAAAGAAGTAGTGGTGGAGCTATGAAGACGTGAAGACAGGGGGGTTTACTAACCGAGCAGGGAGCAGGGAGAGGAGGGAAGTTGTGGACTGGAAGGCAAGTGAGTGAAATACATGGAGGGTAAGAAAGGGATGGAAAAAAGGGACACATAGAGGGAGAACACTGGCCCGGGGCGCTGCTACGTGCTTTGCCTTCTTTCTCCCCTTTCTTCAGGAGGCTCTCAGAGAGACAGAATAGACACGAGATGAAAAGAACAAAAACCCACTTTCTACATGGACCTATGGGAACGCTTGAGCCAGTGGTGCCACATATAGCTGCACCGATCTGACCTCGGCGCTGCAGGAGTGATGGCTAGTGAATTACCATGTCAGTGGCCCAGTGCCCCGTCACTCCAGCTCCCTCACACGCATAATAAACACACTCTATCACCCGTTCGGCCCAACCACACCGCCCAAAGAGAGCATATTAATTATAGATACACATTAAATTACTTTCATTACCTCCCCTGCTCAGTCGACGGGACAGAGACAGGGATGATGGATGGAAAGGGGTTTGCTTTACTTCCCCAAGTAGCAAACGCCCCTTCTTTTACCTTCTCTCACCCTTTTCTGGCGTGTTCATTCTTTATTTTGCACCAGTTATCCTGTGACTTGCATTTCCCTATTTGTCTTTTGCATCTTTCCCCCAATTTTTTTTTGTGACAACTAGACAATGGGAATGTCTGTTCTCTGTCACATGGAAGAGAGCAAAATGTGCCGTAGGGGAAAATTGCCCCCATCAGACCGTTGTTTGGATCAGCTGAATGAATGAATGAATAACTGTGGTACTTTCAGGACCCAATAGGTACGCTTCATTTTTTTTATACTCAATATGAACCATAGGAAAGAAAACCCAGGTTTGTTGTCGGTATGTTATAATACAGTATTGTGCAGCTGAAGTTGTCAATCAGACACTTTCCAGCTGAAACGTGAATAAAATCTGACTCTACTTTTCTCTGTTCAGCCAAAACATTGACAGTTGTACTTCTCTAATGACCTCCTGCAATTTGAACCAAATTTTCACATTTGGCTTCATCGCTCCAACAGACCACTGATTTTCTGATGTATACCTCAGCCTTTTTTCCCCGTTTCCCCTTCTAATAAAACTATTTCCAAAGAGGCTTAAGCAGACAGTCGATGGATCAACACAAGGATCAGATGCATCTCTCAGTTCCTGTGTCTGGTATTTTTTTCTGGTATTTATTTCTTGCTGACATCATTTTCAGATGCTGTTCATCTGCTGTAGGCCTGCTATTTTTTCTTTTGTCCTCCACATGCTCAGTTTGTCCACAATGCCAATATAATGTTTCAGCTAACAGCTCTTTGGGAATCACATTGTTGGTGCAAAAATACTAGTTTTGAAAATCTGGGAATGTTATCCTTGACAGTTTTTGTAGATTTAATTCAAGAGATGATGTCCTCTTGTTGCAAACTGCTCGTAACAAAGTGCCTAAAGATGCAATTTAAAATGTGTTCTTTGGTATGTGTCAGCACAACACTGCCTCAACCCTTGTTAGGTGCCTTTTTTTTTTATCTTTGAATGATTTAGTGTAAACTGGTTAAAAAAACATTACTCTAAAAATAGTCAGATGCAGGAACTGGACTGAAAATAAGTGGGAAAAGAAGCTAATATCCAAAGAAAACCTTTAGAGACCTGGAGAACTTTCAACTGTGGCTCAAGACTTTTGCACAGCACTGTATTTCCAGTTGTACTCGATTAAACTTGATCTATAAGCTCTCTGATTTGATTAACTTTTGAAATCAATCACAAGAAACCTAGCGTCTGCATGCGCTAATGAAAATGTGGCTAATGTGAAAATAGCACCTCTCCAGTGTCATCTTCTCTCATCCCATACAGTGCAGTCCCTGAGCAAATAACCATGCGCCACATCTCTTCTTTAACCCTAAAGGCCGCTGTAGGCTTCGCAGTGTGTCTGTGTATTTATGTGTGTGCACACTTGTCCTCCTTCGCTGCCTTCTATAAGTTTGATCTCACTGCAGCCAGGAAACCATTACATCGGGTGCCTCTGCTTGCTCAACAACCCCGGGTCTATCTAATCTCTGCTGCTCCGAAACATCCCATTCAATTTCTTCTGTTGATAGATGCCAGTGCTCTTTGAGCCCTTCGGGAGTACATTCTTTCTTTCCTGCTCGTCTCCAACTTTTCGCTTGAGTAAGACCACTAGATTCATCGGGTCAGCCCCCCCTATTGTAAACAACTAGGATCTGATTTGCACAGATCCAAAGGTCAAGAGAACGGCTGACAGTCAGCATCCACGCGCCAGTCTAAGAACGTTTCGTGGCGTACGTAGGATGCTTTATGAAGAGTGATACCCACTTAGATTCACACACTCCTGAGCTCGCTACCTCTTTAACACCGACTGACAGTTACTGTAACTGAGAGCTGCCAGTTACACTTAGAACAAGCAGATGCATTCTAATTGTAGTCGTCATAAACAGATAAGGAAGAAGCACTCTAACACTAGCACTACTCTTCCTGTTTACATTTACAGCCACAGATGCTACTTACTGTTTCCAGCTATTTTGCAATTATATTACATTTTGCTGTAACCTCAGCAGACAGAGATCTACTGGGCAAGACACTAAAACCCCATGATGCAAGGAGAAAGAACACCAAAAGAACCCTTTGGTAAGGACGTAGCCCATGTTTATTGAGATCATGATCACATAACATTGCATTAACTGTGAAATTACTAAACAGCAATGCAGAAGTGTAAACTACCCTCAAGCCATTTTATTCACGGCTGTTTATTTTTTGCTCCACAGCACTTTTCACCCAGCATTGCCTAGTCATTGGACCACCTCCAAGACCCTCTGGAGATCCAGAAGTCTTGTGTTTTTTTTACCATTGGGCATGGAGGACAACATTTATGGAACTCCACAGGAACAAACATTATGAGAAGGGCAGCCTGTAGAGGAGGGTCAGGAGGCCAGAGGGGAGCACGAGGTGAGAGTGAATATAATAATGACAAACGGATTCCTGGCCGCTGCAACCGCAGCCTCGTCTCTCGGGTACCTTTCCACCTTGTCATGTCCAAAGACCTTGTATAATACTCAGCAAAGGGACAGGAGATAGCAAACACGTGTGTATCTGTACTCGCCTGTGCATTTCTAATTTATTGGCCCACTGATTTGCTGATGCGTGTGAGGCCGCACACAGGAGCACTAGCCTGGAACAGCCGGGCTTTGGTTCATTAGGCGCTCACACCCTTAAGCGGCTGACATTTCCAAACTTGTTCCCCAGTTTTCTAATTGTCGTGAAAAATTGGACACAGGCGCCAACATTGAAAAAGCTGCACGCTACATCTTGATTTGATGGCATTTCTTGAGCATCGCCGGATGAAAGTGAAATGCAAAAAAAGCACGCTGGATAGTGCAAAAAATGAGGAGGGAAATTAAACAGGGCTATTCATCCTTCTCATTTGAAGACCTAAATAATCATCTACATAGATAAACCACATAGTGTCATCTACCATTATTGGTACAATTCGCACATCTTAAAAATATGTCAGATCTGGTGTGTAAATTTCAAAAGAATCAGAACAGTTTCGAAAAGTAAACCTTAAAATTGTTACTCAGATAAAGAAATCAAATAAGAAAAGCAAATACATAGCATTAAATCGATTAACAGTTTATACAAATCCATCTTCTCCATAAAATAAATGTGACTGTTAAATGTCAACACAAAATTATGGCATCATTTTGGGGCACTCGTTAGTTTGTGTTTCAGCTTGAAATTAATAAATACTGACAAACGGTTAAAAAGGTTAAAAAGGTGTCATCACGTGCTGTTGATTACAGAATTAAAGTCAGTTTAAGACTCCAACAACGGGCTTTGTTAGTGTATGTTTAAACTTTACAGACTTTACAAAGACCAACCAAAAAAAATGGAAAAATATGGACCAGCAGACACAGTATTTCACATACAGAAAGTAGAAGTTATAAAATGTAATCACTGCATGTGCAGTACTACAACAAAATATCAGTGTTTTCAGTACGGTGAAAACAACGGTGGAAAAACATCACAGGTTTAAAGGAAAGTACACAATTCAACATTGCTCCAGAGTCCAGACAGGTGCAGTTGTACAAATGGCATACCTCTAGAGAGCTGACAGAGTGGACAGATGACTGTAAATTAGTAAAACATGCTGGTCATAATTTCCCCATGAATGTTAAAGAGATGACTGATATTTAAACAGGAGAGAAATTAGCTGTTTAGAGCAGCTAAAGTTTGACATATAGCTAAAGGTCTTAGCTTTGTACTTTGTGACAGTACTCTTTTATTTCTTTGTTGTCACGGGTAACATAACACATTTGCAATTCATGGCATCTTTTCCATCCATTACTACTCAAATGTAACTTTTTTTTTTAACCCAGTAAACAAAAAAGAAAATCCCAGACACATCTGCATTACTAACGCATTATATAAAAAGACAGAAAATACAATTTCATTTCATTTTAAGAATCACTGTCACAGTTTTTCTTCCTCTGTGTGGCCTTAGTGCTGTGGGATAATTTACTCATTTTCTAGAAAGTGTCATGTAACCTTGAAGCATACTGAGGAAAGTAATAAAAACATGAGATTTGCTGTAACTTACTATAAAAACAGAAATCTCTGTCTGTCCACAAACCCCTCCTGAACCATCAAGAGTTCAACCAAACTTGATGCACAGGGTAGCATCATATCATTTTGACAACAAGACCTGATCAACAAACTGTAAATTCCAGAATTTACATTTTTTACAGTAAATATTCGCATCACTTTTCAATTGTGCAGAAAAAAGAACAACAATACAAGAAATCACAGACTGTGTCTGAGAAAACAATGTCTCTCAGCTACAAACAGCGCTGCTTGAAATGTGAAAAAGCACAACAGCTTCACAACACAGCTGCTGGCGAGGTCCACTGATAAAGAGGTGCCAGTGAGTCAACTCAGAAATAATAACTTCTAGTTTTAGTTCCCCATCCTACTCTGTGGAAAAACAAACAGCTTTTTGTTGTTTACAGAGTAAAAGGCACTCATATCGGTTTGCAATGAGGTAGATCAATACAAATCAAAAGGTTAATGTATAATAAGAGTTGTGCCTTCAGAACAAAATAACTGGCAGGATCAAGAATGAATTGCAAAAAGGGTTTTGTTTTTGGTAACACAAAAGGTACTCCAACAAGATGCATTTCTCATTTAAAAAAAACTTGACCCAATACTGATATTTACTTACAGGCTGCACAAACTCACATGCACAGGAAAAAACTTTTAAACTTTCAAAAAAAATTGGTTAACCATCTTCAATTCTTCATCAAGAGCCATAATCAGGTCAAAGTTGTTCATGTATGTATGTACGTACGTATGTATGTATGGCTTGTACAGCAAAACTTCCATCAGCTTTAGCTCTACCTTGTGCTAATTAGCAAAAGTAATTAAAAAAAGGAAACACACTAAGCTAACATGGTGAATATAGTCAAAAATCTATACCAGTGAGAAATCTCCACGTTTAACAATGTTAAGCAGCTTTGCGCGCCGATATTAGCAATTAGCTCAAGTTGCTATACAACCTGTTAGCATGGCTGTAGTCTCTGTGTTGTCTGCTGGTTGAAAGACTTTACAGTTCATCAAAAGTCAAAGTAATTGCCGACTGACTGAACGAATAAATCAGTCTGTTAAAAATGAGTGCGAGCAAGCAGAAAGCAATCTGTGCTAAGATCAACCTGTACAGCTACAACTATCACCCCGCTGCATTCACGCTAAATAAAGCAATCACATTTCATTTTGTTTCGGCGCTCTCTGGGCCCTGCTGGGCTGCGCTCATCTCCGTCTCCTCAGCTTCAGGCTGCTCCATCTCTGCCGCTGAGATGCTCATCTGCTCCTGGTTCTCTATGTTAGTTTGGTTACGCTCTCGGTCTTTAGCTCTCTTTTCTTTCTCCAGCATGTGGTAGTTGTAGATGTTCATGACGAAGAGAAAAAGCCCGCCAGTCGTGATGACTGAGCCACACATGAGGAAAAGGTACTTGTAGTCGCCAAAGATGTCTACCAGTAACCCTGTGTGGAGGAGGCCAGAAAGAATATTTAAAACTAATCAAAGAAAACACAGCACAGTGAGAGTATAGCGTCTAGACGGCAAGTTTGAAGGTGAAGAGGAAGATCAGACTCAGATATTGCTTATGAGTGCGTGCAAGAGAGCGAGAGTGAGCATAGGCCAATTTGAGAAGAGCCATCTCGGAAATGACGGGGCCATTACACCCTTCTTGGCTCTCCTGAATTGCCGGGAAGGCAATTTGGATGGCTGCTACCAAAACGAATCAGAAGAGAGGCATATTCTCAGAACCATAAATATCCAGCTCAAGTCTGCAGAAAAGTGACAAATGTGGTTTAGATCAGATTTCAGCCTGCGGCTTTTCTGAGCTCTAAGTCCACAAGTCGCCCCGACCCCCGTTTTCCCCTCCAGACACGGATCGATAGGCGAATGTCGCTATCTCTCTCAGTGTCGGCATCTAGGACTGTCCACCTCACTGCATTACAATCCCCCTTAAAGCCGTATGGAATCATGGCAGCTCGCCTCAGAAGCTGAAGTATTTTGAGCAGGATTAGTTTCTGTTTATTTTCTCTTGCTCCTGGAGTCTTCCCTTCTCTTTCCACTATTAAACATCTAGTTAGTAAAGATGACTGTGTTTATTCATCAGGCCAGTTTTATAAAATTGATGTTTGTCAAACATATTAGGAAGCACATTTAGTACAAACATGCTACCGTCTCCTTCTGAAACCAATTAAAGACGATGTTAAACTATAAGGAAATTAAACTGATTCCCTTAGCAGATCTCCTTAACTATACCACCTGCCATCTTTGCAGTGGAAGATTGTGTTAAAATAATGTTTGTGTGACTGAATGCAATGTACTGTACTATACTAGGAGGGGGTCACTTTGCATTTGGATCAATTTCAACCATCTCAATGCCGGCTGTATTATCTGATTGATAGCACTCATCTGGTGCCTGTACTCCAATGACCATCACCCTCATTAAGACAGCCCTTGATTGGCTAAGCAGTAATTAAGTCCATCTGGCATAGTCACCTCTTTTTTAATGTATTCACAGCTTAATTATGGCCCAGGTACAGGACTTTAATGACGAGAGTTTGAACTGAGCGTCATTAAACACCCAAAGCAAAAGGGTAATTACACCCGCTTACCTCACTTCCTCCTAATTGGATTGACCCGAAGGTTTGGGGGAGCAGTAACAAGCAGAATAGGGGAGACATAACGATTGAGCCCTCTGGAGGAGATTGTTAGACGTGCAGGGAGGCACTTATTTATCCTATTAAATGATCGCCTCGGAACACGGTCGCTCTAGACTAACTGGGGGGCCTGTAACTTTTCACCTCATTAAAAGTCAGGTTGGAGGCAAAGGACGCGTTTGTCAGCAGGATGATATTCACAGCTGATTAAGTCATGTTCAGCTAAACTACTGTACATCCTCACCTTGTTTATGTAGGACATTAGGCCTGTATGAACACTGGTGAACAAGTTGAGCAACAACAGAGAGGATGGCTTGCTCACTGCAATACAGTATGTGTTATTGACAGACATCACCAAAAATGATAAATACCTTTCAAAACCAAATTTCTGAAAACACTAGGGAGCGTACAACCACAAGTATTGTAGTCTATCCTTACATGCATGAAGAAAGATGGCCACAAGTTAAGAAAAAAGTTACATGTAGGAGATGGTAACTAATTTATTGGACAAAATAGGTCCGCCTCGACTTGTTAAGAAAAGCAGTAAGAGTCGGGGAATAAATGATTTTAAAAAAGCATCATTTTTTTTGACAAAAGGAGGAAATACTTTGACTGATATTGCAAAATCAACTCTAGGCTAAAATGGCGATTACATTATATCTCATAGTAATGTTAGTAGCTTTTTTCTTTTTGTTTTACAGGGACAATGAGCCAAAATGCTGGACAGGTGGTCAGTGTAGTACTGTGTGCTAAGGTTGGGAGATATGTAAAAATTTTCCAGCCGACATTCGTCAATCCAATAAATGACGACGGGCGATATATTCGAGCAGGTGACTTTTTGATGGGCGGGGGAATGTAATCACGCACCGACTGATTTACGCATTTAAAATTTATTCGTAGGTTTCGTTTGGAGGGAATACTTTACCTTCTTTTCTTGTTTGTTTCAGTATTAATATAGCTACTTTTTGGATTATTGAATCATTTATTTATTTGAGATGCACTGAATTACACAAAAGACTTTACGTCTGAGGGTTTGTTTTTTTATGTTCGCTCGAAGAGATATTTTGATTTTTAACTTACTTTTTGTTTTATTTTGTATTGGTTGTTTGGTTGAGTGTGTAAGACAGACAAACACTGGACCGACCTGTAAACACGGTTATAGTGGAAAAAAGAATCCAGTTTCTCTTTGTTTCCCTCCCCACCATTGTGTTTGTTTGTTTTTTTTAATTTAAATAAAATGTTTTTGTTTTTTCTGAACATAGGCTACTGCCGTTCTTTCTTTCTATTATGAGTTTAAGTAAATGAATCGCTGCATTTGGGTGACTCTGAGGAGGGGGGGTTTGTTCGCAGCTGGAATACGGTGCTGCTAAAACAGCGCTATTATTTTTTCCATTGACTGCTTTTGTTAGCTTCAACCAACATTATTAGCAAACTTACTTGTGGGCAAATAAATAAATCGCTCTTGTAAAAACGATCAAAAGCTTTTACAAGAGCGGTGGGTCCAATCGCCCAACCTTACTGTGTGCTTCCTAATGTGACTTTTATACACTATGATGTAGATTCATGCATAAGTGAATCAGTCTGAAAGTTTGGCATTGTTTTTTCCCCATCAGTTTTGCAACATGATTTTATAACTGCAATGAAAACCAACAATACCACAATACAAACAATACCACCCTAACTTTACCTCGTAAAGCCTCAACAATGAAATATCTGTGGATGTTACAGTGGGCTGCGTTTATAGATATATTTCTGGCACTGCAGTGAAAAGCTGTCACAATAGAATCGTGCCCGCTTTTAATTGACGGCCTGAGCATCATGGGCATTATACACTCGTCTCATGTGCACAGAGATTCTCTGAATCTGTTGATGATAGTATGTACTGTAAATGATAAGATATTCAAAGTCTTCACAATCTGATGTTGAGAAACATTAATCTGAAATTGTTCCACAATATAGACACAGTTTGCTTCTTACTGGTAAACTGCCCATCTGTATTTCTGAGTGCCTCACTAAGATGCTCTTTATACCCAACCTGTTGCTATTGCAAATGTTCTTCCAGCTGTGGTTAAAGTCAGACTGTAAATAAAATGCAGCTTTTTTTTCTCCTTATCTTTAAATGAAGCCTGGATTTGCCCCAGATGCTCCATTATGTCATGAAAGCCTGTGCCCATGAGCATAGATGGCTTCTTTCCAGCAGGAAATCACCATGACGAACTGCATCTTTGTGTGGGCGTCTCATACAATACAAAACATCCATACTCCGTGATAATGCGGCTCTGTCTTACAGGAATGATACTGTTACCAAGCTTTACTGCAACATAATGCACAGCCTGTGAATGAAAGAGATAAACAAACAAATATTGTTTGCAAGGCTGCTCTCACTTGAAAGCGGTTATTTCCTCTGTAATGGTGGAAATTTCTCTTTTCCCCAAGTGTTTCTACATGTTTGTAAGTATATATTACCTTGCTCTTTGCCTCAGTTGTAGAAAGAAGCAGCGTAAAGCAATCTTAAGTGATCTAAGAGTAAACATGTGTACTTGTGTAAGAGAAAGACAGAAAAAGGATTATGTATGAATGAAGGATGTGTTACCTGCAGCAGGTGGTCCCAGCAGCATGGGGAAGCACTCCACAATCGTGACAAGTCCAACGGCGCTGGGGAAGCGCTGATTTCCCATCAGATCCATGAGGCATTCAAATATCAGGGCGAAAACCATCCCAAACCCCACACCAAAAAATACTGCGTAGACCACCAGGAGGGTATAGCTCCTCATCAGAGGGCACAGCAAATGGCACGTTCCATTAAAAACCATGGCAAAGCTGAAGAAGTACTGAATTCTAGGCCTGATCCACTTGCTGTTGGCTACCAGGCCTGTGCCGGGTCGAACAAACATGTCAACAAAGCCCATAATGGAGAGCAGGTAGGCCGCAGAGTACTTCTCAACACCTTGGCTAACAGCATAGGTAGACAGGAACACAATGGGTGCATACGCTCCAAAGATGAACATGACATTTCCTATTAGGTAAATGACAAAGCCCCTGTCCCTGAAAAAGGACAGATCCACAAACTTCTTTGTGTTCTTCACACAGCTTCCTTTTATCTTAGTCTTGCACTTATTTGGCCGATCCACGTTTTGCTGCGGTGCACAAGCGAGTGTCTTACAAACAGGTCGCATGAGGGCTCCAGCAACACAACAGTTGAGCATCAGACCCCCCAGGATAAGGAGGCTTCCTCTCCAGCCATATGTGCCCAGTAGATATTGGTTAAGAGGAGCCAGGAAACAAAGGAACACTGGACTGCCAGCCATAGCAAGTCCATTGGCTAAAGGACGCCTGGCCAGAAAATATTTACTGATGATGGTGAGAGATGCATTCAGGTTAAAGGCGAGTCCACAACCTGCATGTAGAAAGATTGAAAACATCTCAGTCACATTCCAAAAACCCTCAGGAAGAAAAACCCTACTGAACCTGAGCTCCAAAGGGTACTTAATTAAATTACGACTAAATCTGCCGGCTGCTCATTAAGGTTCCATCTCATTTCACTTTTGCCATCTAAAATCTCATTACAGGACTCTGGAATTATTTCAGAAATAATTTCTCCATTCAAGTAGAAATAAATTGGAGAGCCTGGGTAATACATTTACTCACTTGCCTTTCTATGCAGAAATTTTTAATCTAATTGGACCTTATTTTGAAGAAGATGAAGAGTTACAGTTAGATAGCTACGGTGTTTAGAATTTCTCCCTCTAATGTCAGGGTATTCTTACGATGCATAAAGTTGTTGTTGTTTGGTTGTTTTTTTAATGCATTTAAATGGGGATTTACTATATTAGGCTTTTAGGGGGACATAAAAAGTGTAATTTAGCAATTTTTTCTTTCCTAATGAGGAATTTCACATTATTTTGACTTTAAATTAAGAAGACTGACTGTAATCCCAATAAATGTGACATCTACAAGTCACCGAATTATGACACTGTCCCCTAAAACTTAAGAGGAACACTTAATCATCACAGTATAATAACATATGTTAAAGCTGCTGCCGGACTTGTTTTGGTGCAAGTGAAAGTGACAACAGGTTGTCTTCATTGGAAAGGCAACCTCCAAAAAGCCACATGGCACCATTTAGTTGTAATCCAGCTCCTCCAGGATGGCACATCCCCTCAAAATGGTTTGCTGTGTCTCCCAGCACAGTCTCAAGAGTGTGGAGGCCATTACACAAGGAGTGGTGTCGGCTCCTTTGTATGGGAAGGAACAGGACCCAGCAAAATGACCTCCAGCTGGCTGCTCATGTGCATGTTTCTGACCATAAACAGATTCCATGAAGTGTTCATAACCAGCACCGTGCCGCTCCAATGGCATTCGCCAGAGAACATCAGAACTGGCAGGTTCGCTGAGAGCTCATCTGACAGATCTGAAAGAGTCTGGAGATGCTATGGCAAACCTGTGGTCTGTGGCCACCACATGCAAAACAGTTTCTACGTTCCTGGTACCCGTTTTAATGCATAACAGTGTGTTTTAAATGATCACGGAACCCCAAATCATGACGTACCAAAAATAGTAACAGAGGAATTTTCCATGCATTTGTGCTGTCACACCTGGATTATTGTATTGCCTTATTTACAGGCTTAGATAAAACATCTTTAACGCCTCCAAGCAATGCAAAATGCTGCAACCACACTAACACATTCTAGTAAATGAGCTCACATTAACCCTGCTTTATCATTTTTAAATTTGGCTCCCAGTTGACTTTAGAATTTGTTTAAAATTTCTTGTATTACATACGGACTAAATGGACAAGATCCAAACTATATATCTTGTAATCATTTTGTGTGTGAAAAGCACTATAGAAACTATTTAAATGACGCTCTTAGTTCAATTATAAATATGTACTACCATCAAAATGTCCTAGGAAGCGTTGAGATTAAATTATTTGAAGTGCCTCAATTCTATGCTTTATATTAACTAAAATGCCATATAACCATATAGTGTAGTATTAACCCCTTAGCAGTCCAATTAGTCCCCTAAACCATCCAATGTACCGTGGGCGGTACGTCCGACTGCTAACAGGTTAAGTGGACACGGCCCTGAAAATAAAGGCATTAGATTACATGTCCTTGGGGGGTAGAATGCTGTAGACTCTCACTCACGCTTGCCTGGGAGAAAGTAGATAACAGGGGACCATCTTCTAGTAGAAAGTTACTGAAACACTGTTGTTTAGACTAGAGAGGGACCAGCAGATTGATTGTTTGATTGTAACTGATTGTTTATTCTGAGAAAAACAGGTGTGGGATATTAAACTGTTTTGTGATGCATTATACTGCTGATTTATAAGAAATACTCTTTCCAGAGAATCATGGCCTTATTTTTCTGATTAGAAAGAACAGAACATACTGCACAGGAAGCCAAGGTCATAAGTTACGCTCACTGAGAAAAAGAAAGAATCTGAATGTTTAGTTTGGAGGGGAGCCGAAGCTTTGAGAATGTGAGAAACGGTCAGACACGTTGAGATTTGCCGGACACCCTCCTGTGCACATCTCCCGTCCGCACGTTTGTAATGCTCAAAGTGTTGTATGGAATAAAGAGAATTGCATTGATTAAAGAGATTGTTGATTGAGCATTTATACACCGAGTGTTGTTCTTCCTTCAGCCCAAAATTCAAAGAGTTGGTGTATTTAACAAAAGTCCACTGTGTGTATAACCAATGCAGTCAATCTTAGCAACACAGATTGTTAAAGCTGAGGTGTGTGCAGAGAGACAAACTGTGAAACTGTTCATGTGATCTTGTGTTGTGCTTGAACGGTGCCAGGCAGGTGCTCCAACCAATCAGAAGCATTCATTATTCCAGTGACAAGGACAGCATACCTCACCAGCTTCTCAGCATCACAAACACCAGTGAGAGAGTGAATGAAGGAGTATACGAGGAGGAATAATTCTGAGATGTATTTCGCTGTGTGTGGGGTGCTTTTTTTATTAACGTGCAGGTGTTTGTGTATGTGTAAGCATATGTCTGCATGACTTCTAGGCAAAACTGCCTAATGCCTGTGTGTCAGTGCACTAGGCACAGGGGAACAGTGTAGAGCCCACACATGCCCCAGGCACCACACATGGCCCAGCCACTCGCTGTGCCTATTAATCCTTCACAGGGGCCCTTGGCTGGGTAATGAGCCTCTTAGGATGGCAGAGAGCCCCCATGTGACGAACCTGATTGGAGCTTACGGAAGAGTACAGAGGGCCATGGAAGATCATGCTCTCTGGGATCAGAGACAGTTCTGTCTTAATTACTGTCCTGGTCCTGGTCCCCTCGGTGCTCTAACTGCACCCTAGGAGCCGGGGCAGATGCCCAGGGCCTTCAGGAAAGGCATGGCAGTCTAGTTATGGGGAGCAGATCTGAACCAAGAGATTCTAAAAGGGATGTGAAAAGATGCAGACTGCCAACATCCCAATCCCACTGGGACCAGGATTGATGGGAATGCAAACTGAATGGTAAACAAGTATGGCATGATATCTTGGTTTTAGTCTGTGATCAATTATGAATTCCCAAAGTGAGACCACAAAAAGTAAAACCTGTTCAAGCAGCAGTAACACATACTGCTTAGGAATAAAAGTACTGTACCTCCAATGACGCCAATGCAGAAGTAGAGATAAGCGATGGAGCTCCCAAAAGATGCGGTTACCATAGACACTCCACACATCAGTCCACCCATGATGACAATTGGTCGGCTCCCAAAACGATTGACCAACATGCTGCTCACCGGTCCTGCAAAAACAGATGAGCACTGAGAACGAGCAGTACATTCTTGTATTATGTTACTTCTTAATGTCGCCAAAGTTTTAGTAATCCGGGTACCTACTACTTCAAGGTAAACTGATGGGTCTAAACCAGTGAAATTCATCATGTGATCATAGGGCTAAATTCTGCCACACAATTTTGTAATGAATAGCTCATTAAACAAAATAAATAACTTAAAAGATGAGTTTCATGTTTTTTTTAATGTCTGTTCATTTTATCTGAAAAGCATTATTATTTGCACATTAGCTGTTGAGCATCCCTGATCTAAACCAAGGGCAAAAGGACATCACAGAGGGTGACAGAAGACCTCCACAGCAAAGCAACCTGGCAACTCATTAAACATTCCCCTGATAATGTAAAACACTACACCCAGTGATCAATCAGCAATTAAAAAGCCTTTTATATGCTGTCACTCTTTCCTTCATTCATAACCTTGCCTGAAAGAGTGACATTGAACCACAAGTCATTCTCCAGAATAATGAAAACCTCTATATTCTTATTGCTAAAAGACAAACTCCGTGAAACTACACAGGCTTCTCGAAAAAAAAATTAAATTAAAGGAACGCTTTGAAAACTCATCAGATCTCAATGGGGGGAAAAAAAAGATACGTATTCTGATGTGGACTGTGTTAGGAATGAAAAGTTCACACATCATTTGAAGGCAATAAAAGTGATCAACCTGCCCCCCAAAAATCAAAGTGGAAAAAAACAATGCAGCAATGATGCTCAGTTGTATGTCCCCACATTACCCTGTATGCATGTGTGACAACGTTGGGGTGTGCTCCTAATGAGACAGCGGATAATCTCCTCCCAGATCTGGACCCGGGCATCACTGAGTTTTAGCAGTATCCTGTTTTAGCAGTTGTCTCATTGTTGCCCCTCTAGTGCAGCTGTTGTTAATTTCATTAACACCAAAGTGGGTGAAACTGATTAACAGCCCCCTCTGCTACTTACCTAATCAATATCCCAGCAGTTTAACTGAACTGATGCTATACTCTGATTAAAAGCTGTTCCTTTAATTGTTTTTAGCTGTGTAGTTCAGTGGTGGTAGCAGTGATAGATTAAATCTTTTTGTTCCAATTTCTTTCATTTTTGCACTAGCAATGTGATCCTTAAAGAGCCATTAGCTGAAGACATTGCATATCTCAACATGGTGCAGTTTGTCCAAAAAGAAATCTAGGAAAACTGGACAAGTAGAAGTTGTGTCCTTGGGAAATAGGGAAAAAGCATTCTTAAGGGAGGCCGAAGGGAGAAAAGGCTGAGGTATTCCCAGTTACACAAGAACTGGACTTAAAATCAGTGGCAACAGGTCTTATGGAGTGATTAATCCAAATGTGAAACTTTTGGTTCAGATCAATGAGTGTCTACAACCAGTGGAGGCTCTGTTATTGTTTGGGGCTGTACATCAGCCAGTTGTGTTGGGCATCTTGTCAAAACTGATGGAATAATAAATGCAGAAAAGCATTAACAGATTTTGATCCACCACACAATGCCATAAAATGCAGTAAAAACATACCTGAATTTAAAAAATAAAAATACAAACTCTCGACAGAAAACAATAAAAGGCAGCCAAGATCCAAACAACAGCTTCAAGAAGCCTGGAGAACTATTCCTGAAGACTACTTAAAGAAATCAAGAAAGCGTGCCTAAGACAGATCAGGCTGTGTGAAGAACAGAGGGGGTCATACCAAATACTGACATTCATGCTTGTTAGAATGATACAATATTTATTCTTTTTACCACATATACTCTATTTCCATGTATGATTTGACATGTTTTAATAAATTGCTGCACCTGTGTCCCATTTTTCTAGCAAAATATAAAGGAATGAAGGGTGACTCAAGACTTCTGCACAACACTGTATGGGAAATCAAATATCCACCCAGCTGTTTATACAGTTACACAGGTTCAGAGCAGGGTCAAAGATAGATCATCGTTTTCGCTGTAGCCGTGTCACAATAGGGCATCTCTTGTTCTACCACCGTATCCATTTCCATTATAAGTTTATCATTGTGACTCGTTGAGTCAGAGGTTTCCTGAAAAGGCTGTCATGTCTTTCCCATGGGGGCCTGGTGTCAGACCCCACTGTGCTGAACCTTCCTCTGATATATTCCCCTCTTTCCTTCTCCTCCGCTAGGTGACATTGTTGAATCCTTGCCAAGGACAATATGATAAAGTCCTGTGCCTGAGCCACATTGGAGGGGAATATTTCACTAGTTAGGCCGCTCTGAGTTGAGTGCAGGTGAGTAACATAGCGTGCTGTCCTGCAACCTTGAAAGCAGATACTAACAAACAAACTCAGGTTAAAAAAAAAAAAGACAAGAAGAAAATCACACTAAATAAAAACTCAAGATTCTACTTTTTTCTTTCAGCAGTGAATAAAATATTTATGTCTTCACAAAATCATAGAGAATACAGTTTTTGTTACCTTTATTTATTCTCAACGTTAGTATTTTGAAGACAGTATATAATATATCTAAGTAGGGTCTGATTTGTGACATCTGACTTCACTTCTACAAACCCAAATGTAGATGTTACATGCAGTGGTGCTTACTTCCATAAATTCTCTTTGGACCTCAGTGAAGAGACTTAAATTTAGGTCAGGTGACTTACATGGTAGCAACGTTCACTTTATTAGGCAGCGGGTGCAGTCGCTCATGTGAAGCCAGTTATACTCGTTACTGTATTTCTCTAAATCTAAATTACAACCATACACAACAGTCGTGCCTTTGCAGCGGACACAGACACCACACAAACGATCTTTGTGAAACTGGGATTTTTGTGTTTATGATGCTTATCGCCAAGTACAAATGCACAGAGCAGACTTCTCAAAATACTGATCTGTCTGCTGTCGGCTGGTTTGAAGCTGTGCTTTAGTAATGCTTGATGCAACTTCTTACAGAAGGTGTAGAGAAAGTCTGATCAACAGACCACGATCGGTGCTAGTATGGGGTGTACGTGGTATGTCAGAGCCCTAGGACAACTAAATAAAACACAAAAGAACAAGAGACCAAAAAAAAAAACTCAGTCTGGTTAACCTGCAGGCTATTATTTACCAGCCAATACAAATGTGTTCTCTAGTAGTGATAAGAGTACTGATTTAGAGGTGCTGACTACAAAAGGTGTGATGGCCTAAAGGTATGAGGCCACACTACACTGCATTCCAAGCAGCTCTGGGTTTGAGATTATCATATTTATGCTAACCAAGTGGTTTATTGATGTAGCATCGCAGCTGACAAAAACAGACTGCAGAAGACTATTCAAATTCAATTCAGTTTTATTTATACAGCGCCAAATCACAACAACAGTTGCCTTAAGGCGCTCTATATTGTAAGGTAAAGTCCCTACAAAAATAAAGCATACAGTAATGCTAACTATGTGGATAGGAAAGCTTAGAAACAGTTTAACCAATAAAGCACACACAGAGTCAACTCACCTCCTGCATACATGGCAGCTAGCATAATAGAGGAAATCCATGCTATTTCACTGTAGCCAGCCTGCAAGTCTTCTTGAATGTCTTTAAAGAAAATGGAAAGGGCTTTGGGTGTGGAGTAGGCAAACCCAATGGAAATATGGGCCCCAATCACCACCATCCAGCCCCAACCGCCATCCAGGGGCTTGGAGCCCAAAACATCTGCTGGAGCAGGAGGCATGTTCCTGTTCAGAGTGTACAGTATAGGGACACAGTGTTACAGTCGCTGCATGCATGAACAAAGCAGTACAATCTAAGTAAAACACACAAGCGCATATTAATTAAAAACGAGGAGTCGGATTTCAAAATAAAAGTCTCAACATCATTCTAAACTTGCTGACAGGTAGTTGAGACATGGACTCACACCGAACTTAAAGTTTGGGCTGTTTTCAGATTCTGCGACATGCTAGACCACACCGGCCATGTTTGTAAACAGAAGCGGGGGAAATAACCCGCAAAACTACGCAACGAAGCAAGCTCTTGTGTAATATACTGCTGCTGCTGTTGGTGGTGGTCATCATAATGGGAAAGGTGTGATTTCTTCCCTAGACGTATTAAAATACAACAAGACCCAAAGGTCTGACACTGCAATTCCACATTAGTTTTTTACAAGCCAAGATAACTTTTCCGATCACTTCGTCTCGTTAAACCGTTCCGCGCAGAGTGGGGCAGGAGTGCTACTCACCACCACGTGGACAAAGAAACCGGTTAACCAGCGTGTGTGGATATACTGCAGAAAGCCTGACTGCATCTTACCGTTCACTGAGCGTCTGCGCAGCCTCTCTTTACGAAGTTCCTGACCAAAGTTTCACCAGCCTACTGCTTTATTTGACTGCTGGTCACATGTCGCACACATGGGCCCGAGGTGATCCGATTCACTAAATTCACAAACTCCTCTGCGTTTTTCAGCCACACTGCTGTCTGCGGCGGCATTCAGTATGACAGCCGAAGGAAAAACTAAATTCTACAACTACTAAGCTATTACAACAGGAAGAAAGCTGTTACGGCTGTGTGTCCTTTACCTTTGGCAGACATAAAATGTTTTCATGTACTTAATGATGGTTTTCAGGCGTTTTCCAAGCCAAAATGAGTTAATCTGACCCATCCCATTATAAATTGAGGTCATAATCTAACTACTCAAGATCCGCCTCTTCTACCCGGTGAAATACACACAGACTGGACACTTTATTAGGTATAGCTTTCTAGTACTGGTTTGGACCCACTCTTGCCTTCAGAAGTGCTTTAAAACTTTATTGTACAGATTCAACAAGGTGCTGGAAATATTTCTGATCTCAAATGTGCTTTACTGAACTGAGATCTGCTAACTGTGGAGGTCATTTGAGTACAGTCAAGAAAAAACCAGTTCAAGATGATCTGAACTTTGTGGCGTGGCATATTATCCTGCTGGGAGCAGCCATCTGAAGATGGGTACATTATAGCCATAAAGGGATGGATATGGTTGGCAATAATACTCATGGAGGCTGTTGGTGTTTAAATTATGCTCAGTTGCAATAAGGGGCTCAGGATGTGCCAAAAATAAATAAATAAATAACCCTGACACAATTACACTACAAACAGCTGCCTGAACTGTTGATATGCGGCAAAAAGAATCCATGCATAGACCATGGACAGCAAACTCTAACCCTACCAAATGTCACAGCACACAGCATAATCTTCCTGTTCTTAGCTGACAGGAGCGGTCTTCTGCTTTTCTAACCTATCTGCCTCAAGGTTTGACATGTTGTGAATTCAGAGATGCTCTTCTGCATACCTTGGGTCTAAAAACTGATCATTTAAGCTACTTTTTTATAATCCTATCAACTCAAAGAACACTAGGCATTCTCCTCTGACCTCTGGCATCAAGGCATCGTCCAATAGTGGACACCTTCTCTTTGTTAGGCCATTTTCTGTAAACCCTACAGATGGTCATGCAGGAAAATCCCAGTATTCCAGTAGTTTGAAACACTGAAACAAGCCTATCTGGCACCAACCATTGCACACGCTAAGCCATTAAAACCACCCTTCTTCCCCATTCTTATGCTCAGTTTAAAGTCCACCAGGTCTTCTGGACGATGTTTGCAAGTCTCAAAGTGTTAAACTACTGCCATGTGATTAGCTGAGCAGATAAGTTACATCAGTTCAACTGCTCACTAAGTGTCCAGTGAATGTAAATGACCTGGCATAGCTTTCCACTATCTGTGACACAGCAGCTACAGTATAAGTATCACAGAAGTTCAAGGTAGGAAACATTTTTAGGATCAAAAATATCACAGTGGAACACAACAATATACAATTGAGGTCCAAAGGCCTCAGTCACTTGAAAGTTAAAAATAAACAGAATAAAAATAAAACATTTCACTTTTAATAGTTTTATTTTCAAATTATGTGCAAGGTGAATTTCACAGTTGAGCTCAACAACCACTATAACCTGAAACCCAAAAAAACCAAAAAAAAACGGACAGAAAAATGAATGGATTAAAAAGACACAATGGAATAGCACCCATAGGTGATGCATGAAGATGACCAGAAGGAGCTGTGTTTGGCCGCACAGGGCAGCCAACTCTTAGGAGAAAGCAGGTTTTATAGCTTTGTGTATTACATGACTGGTGTTTGAAATATGTTGTAACAATGCAGTTACTTCAACTGTAATGCTTAGTTTCAGTGAGATGTTCCAAAGATACTACTGTACTACGGGGTGGAGGGGGGAGGGGGGCAAATCAAAATATATCACTCGTGCGGGTAATTTTTTTTCCCCCCTCAACAGAACAGGATTACTCTATTATAACTAAACAGATAATTATGTAAAGAAAAAACAAAACAGCCACTAGAGACAACAAAAAGAAATCACATCTATTTTTCAAGTTATAAAAGAAACTGAAGATAACTTTAAAAAACTGTGCAAGTACAGCAAATCTATAGTACAGTATATTACACATAACAAAAACAACTTAAATACAGTACTGGGTATCAGTAGAAATCCTGAGAGTTCTCCGTTCCTGGTTCGCAAATGGCTGTCTGTGGACAGTCGAATGAAGCCCAGACCCACTCTGACCCTTTTTCGTGGGAAACATTGTTCAAGCTGGGTTGACTAGAAATCAGGTTAAAGTCAGTCAACAGTGAATCTTCTCTCGGAGAAGTTAATTATATCCTCAAGTCCTTAATGAATGCGACTTTTCCTGTATTAAATGCCAATGTAAATCTCTTAAGATGATTGCTATATGGTTGCTAAAATGTTTTCACTTAATAGGAGGGCACTCCTTGCTTAGATAAAATACACAAGAAATGTGTAGTGCAATGATGAAACAGGAACCTGCGTGAGGAAACTGACGGCACTAAAAATGTCACACTTTGACAGCAAACGCCCTCCAGTGGTGGCGTTCTTCTGTACAAGATTGTCAAAAAAAAAACAAAAAAACAAAAAACAGAAAAAAGCACCAGCACCAAAAGTTTGTATCCTCTGTGATGACGTGTAAAGACGGATTCATAGCTTTACGAGGGTGCTTCGTAAAGTTTGCAGTTAAGGACCGCTGAAGTGGCGAGTTATTCAGTGCAACGCTGAGTAAGACTTTTCAGATATTCTTCATCAGGAGGAACAGTTTTTGATTCTGATGCCCCTTTTTTTCTAGCTGCAGGCACATTGGCATCACAAAAGATCTCCACGAAAAATCCGCATCACTTCAGCCAACAGCCAAACAATCATTATGGGTACTACTGATCTTCGCTAGCAAAGACGAGCACACAAAACAATTAATGCACTTTTAATAAGGTAATACAATGTAATATAGCCTAATCACAGTTCCATGATTTATTGCTACCACAAAATCCGTTTCCAACTTCCACGACAACTATAGTAAGACCTCAAATGCTCTTTTGGCATTACGAGGAAGGCTATTGGAACCCTTTTTTTCAAGCGTTTAATCACCCGGTGTCAAAGAACAAACTCAGAGCTCAAACTCAGAGCAAACACTTGTTTATATCAACACAACGGCCTGAAATGTCCCTTTGCTCCTAATCAAAAATCTCTGAAGTTTCTGAGGTAAACCTGTTGGTCTGAATGAGCCACTTAGTGTTGCAACAAATTTGACTCCGTCCTTGTTTCTCCAATGTGGAGAGTGAATATTCTAACATTTCACTTAATGGATGCCAACTCAAAGCAGGAAAAAAAAAAAGTCTGGAAGCCGCACATAGTGTATGTTTGACACACTGACACCTGTGGAGGAAGAGTGGGCAATAAAAAGTTACCATTTAACTTTCAACCTTTAAAAACACTAATGTCAATCACAAGCACACTTCAAATTAAAACTTGCATATGAAATAAACTGAAGAGAGGCATAAACGCAGAACAGGAAAAAAATCCACACAAACCTCAGAGCCAGCAATCTACTAATGACCTAAGGTACTCATCTTACCCGTATGAATATATAGTTTATATGACTATTTGTATATTTCTATATCTATATAGAGTTTCACTTTATGCTGACACATAGCATCCATATCTCCAGAGGCAACACCCTCAGTTCCATGCTTATCATTTGTAAAAATTCATACACACATTAATCAGCCACAACAGTAAAACCATTTACAGATAGCACTAATACAACCCAATCCACAGAGGCCCCACCCTGCAACTCAGGGGTTTTAACGTTGTGGCTGACTGGTGTATTTATGCACCTAACACAAAAATAGAACAACATGGCTCGACAACAAGCAAAAAAAAAAAAATAGTATAATTGCACTTATGAGTCATTGTACGGTTTTGTTAAACAAGCCTCAGTGTGGGTAGTTGGTGCTTTCTTGAAGAAAAAAAAAATACTGCAATCTTTAAAAGCAACCCCATTTTGATCATTTTAAACCAGAAGTTGAACAACTTAAGACTTAACCAAAAATGGTGCATGTGGTGCAAACCCAAGGTAACACCAGGCACAAGGCAGGCAGGACCACACTATCCCCCCTCTGCCTCAGAGATGGGGTCCACAAAATTCAAATACCTCAAAGCACTTTCTGGAGACACTGGGGATAAAGTTTGGCCACCACGCATTCAAAATGGCGGCCCAAATCCCAGAGGCGATCGGGTGTCTCATAGACCTTGGTCCATACGTCTGCCTCATCGTCATACTGGTAAAGGGAGTTCTTCCTGCTAGTGCGAAACACATGCTCCTCCACCATGACTTGTGTAGCTCGTACAAACAGGTGTAGCTTGCCTTGCAGCAGCATGGCCTTGATATACGGGCTTGTGGCTTGGTCAAAGGGTAGATCTTTCTTGCGGCTCCATGTGTTCTTCTCAATGTCGTAGACCTCCACAGTAAAAGTACGCTGGTGGTTTCTGCAGATCCCAGCTATGTAGTAGATGCAGTTTTTATACAAGGCAGCCAGACCCTGACTCCGAGGGACACTCATTGGCGCCAGATGACTCCAATAGTCCTTACGGGGATCATAGCAGAAGAAATATTCACCTGTGCGAAACAAAGAGACAGAGTTATGATCAGATGCATTTAAATGGTTTTCATATGCAGTATGTCTGTTGTATTAATATCACTTTATTTACATATTTTGTACAGATAAAAACAAACAAACAAAAAAAACATAATTGCATAAGTTCCCCTGAGCACAGAAACTCACCTTGGAGGACGTAGATACGGTCTTTGTACTCTACAGCACTGTGAAACTCCATGGCCACTGGCATTGGACTGACTGCAGTCCAACAGTTGTCTCTGGCATCATAGCACTCTACTGATTTTAGTGCATTTCGCCCATCACCTTCATAAACACGGCCTCCCAGTGCATACAGCTTCCCGCAGCAGTGCACAAGCCTGCATCCAATTCGGGCTCTCAGAAGAGGTGCACGTGGAAGCCATCGGTTGCCTGCATGCTCGTACTGCCAGAAGTCACTCTCTGCTCGATGGTCTATGGACACCTCGCTGTTACTCGGACGGTACCCACCAGCAATGTAGATGTCATTTTCTGGGGACACCAAGATGCCAACCTCCCGGAGATCATTAGGTGGTTTGCAGAGTTTGAACACCCTTCCTGTGGCCGTGTCCAGACAAGGCACCGTCTGCTTCTTACCTGAGTGTTTATGAGCAGCATCAAAGCAGATGACCATCTCAGAAGCAGTCATACCCAGGCGCTGTGGACAACCATTTGTGCCAGTGAGGCGAGCTTTGGCCTCAGCAGAGTCTGTTGAAAGGGAGAGGGCGCAAGCAAAGGGGGGAGGTATCCGATTGAGAAAGGCCTCATCCAGCAAGGGCAGACGGATACACTGGGAAAAAACCTCAGCTAGATGAGTTTCACGGCCAGACAGATCATGCTCTAGCCAGCGGACAATGCTCTCATAGACATGCTCTTCCTTTTCCACATTGAGGTCATCATTATTCAAAATGCTGACCAACTGCTCCTTGGTCATCTGGAGGAACTCTTGCTCCCGTGATACACACAAGAACTAAAACAAAAGAAGTTTTAGAGTTTCAGTTCAGACATTACAAAGTTCGATGTCAATGTTGTTGACTGCCACTGTTCCAACAAAAATAAGACATTTGCCAAAAGCAGGAACTGTGTCACATTAAGTCTTTAAGCTCTTGATGAAGACCTGAAAGACTATAAAACAGTACTCTAAATTATTTATCAATTCCCCTGGCCACTAAACAAGGAATACATAAAAGTAGAAAAAGCCATAAACACAAAAAAGAAATAAAAAAAATTATATCAGTCATCTACCAAATTATCATTACATATTAGTACCAACCAAGAAATTTAACACTCAGTACATCCTTAGTTTTTTGGCAGCCAAATGTCCTGGTCATAAAGAAAGCAGAACTACAAAAGTAGATACCACAACATGTCTAAAAATTGTGGTATAAAATAGCTGAAGGCATTCATTACATCACAGTCCAAAAGTAACGGTTAATAACCAATTTAGGCTTATGTTCAACTGACCTTCTTGCGGATATAATCCTGTGAGCGTTCCCTCAGTTCCTGGTGCCCATATGCATCAGCAAACATAAAGACTCCTATACAGTTCTGAGGGTCAAGTCGGCTGATCATGAACTGGGCACACTGGTCCTGCAGGGCAGGAATCTGGAAAATGCTGGCTGCAGTGAATAGGGCCTGGACATTAGACTCAGAGAGCGAGACCCTGGATGTGTAGGCATAATCTAGGACAAGGTGCATGGATTCAGATTCCACGCCAACAATTCGAACCTCACGCTGACTGCTCTCTGTAAGGCCACTGGTGAACATGGACCTAGAGGAACATTTGAAAAAACACAAATTATTTTATGATTATTATAAATTCTCATCTTAAAAACGGAGAAAGTTTATCAGAAAATCGTATTTTCTAGACAACCTCTAGTCAAAATGACAGTGAAACCAAGAAAGAAAGCAACTAATAAATATTTGTAAACAAACACGTACAAATGAAGGACATAGGCACATATGCAGTGATGAATTTCCTACCTAAAATATGGGCTGATTGCAGCAAGAACATTTCTGTGGCATGAGAAAGTCTTGCCATGGTCCACTTCTACAACGATGTCTGTGAGCTGTGCTTCATCGTACAAGGCTTTGAGCTGCTGCAGGATGTTACAAGCATGAACAGCATCTACCCCATTGTAGTTGGTGATTGGAAGCGTCCCATTTTGTACTTGTAACAGCTTCCCTACCTCTGAACAAGAGCAGAAACAGAAAAAAATATTATTATCATCATCTCACTTAAATTTTTTCAGTCAACTCTAAACACATGTATAACTGACATGAAAACACAAAATGCTTCATGTATATACCAAAGAGCCCCAAAAATTAAGGAAATGCTGCAGAAAAAAAAACTGCCTCACAGACACTCTAGATATGCAAGCTCTAGTTTGCTACAAACGAATATCACATGCAGTATGCCAACAAAATATACTGTAAGAGAAGAATAAAGACAGTGCACGAGGTATGAGTATTTAAAGCACTTTAATCTCAGTATCTTTAGTTGTTTTGACGAATGCAAAGTGTCAATTTTGAGAATGAATCAGAAAAGAAAAAAAAACCCAGATCCCTTTGACTGAGTTAGCATAAGACATAGGTCAGGTCAGGTCCAGAGGACGTCTAATGACAGGTACCTGAGGTTACCTGGGGACACAAGATCAGGAGAGTTGTAAACAGGTTGCAAAACCACACATAATCACATAATAATGATAATTACTAAATTCTTTAAACAGTAATACAGCGTACATAGTCAACAGTGCTCTGGTTTAAACACTCATTTATGTAGACACATTTTTTAAATTAAAAATTAATAGATTATTACAGAAGAAAGGACTTAAATATGATGTTAACATACCTGACAATAGCAGCCACAGCTTCTGATCTGGAGCTACCAATTCTTCTGAAGTTTTTGTTTAGCTGCCAGTGTAGAGCTCTGTACCATTTGCCTATTCAGTTTATACAATGCGCATTTTTAATACTTAACTGCTATATAGTCATTTGGAAGAGCATCAATACCAACAGTACCGTCTTCAGCCCATCCAGCTGACACACAATTTTACAAACCAGCTGCAGACAAGCAGCCATGCTTCCCTCACTAGCGGCTGAACACATGAAAAACGCGAGTATGTCTGTGGTCTGGAGGTATTATAAAGTTGATGACAACAACATTGCCATTGTGAGATATGTAAACTTGGAAAAGCGACCCACTTCAGTACTGGAAAGAACATGCTAATCAGCTTCCCAGTATCGACCCAGTTGCAACCCAGTATCTCATGCCCCCTTTAGCTCTGTGGACAGTGAGAGCCTTTTTAGTGCCGTTGCAAACGTCCTTGATGAGAACAGAAACAGGCTCAAACCTGACAAGGTAGAGATATTAGTTTTCATTAAGAGAAACATACTATATTTTCTGCGAAACTTACTACTGTGATGACAGTAAGAGTTAGGAGTGCAGTTCCTAAAACAAAATAACGGCCTTGCAAAAAACGGGGAACCTTTAATTTTTTTATTTGTTTACATGCCTGCCGGATATTTTAAGTTGAGGTGCTATTTGTTTTTATATTAGACTTTTTTTAAATATTTACTGTTGCACTAAAGTCCATAAGTGAAGAATTTATTTTATTTATTACTTGATTGTTCAAGCTACCTCACAAAAGTGCTGTGTTTGTTAACAGAGCTGTTAAATGTTAAAATAAGGTGAATTAAATAAAAAAATGAGGAACATCCAGGATCTGTTTGTTCGCTCTTCTTTATTCTTTTTTTTATGTATTATAGAAGTATCGGATCGGGACTCGGTATAGGTAGACACTCAAAATCAAATGACTCGGACTCTGACTCGATGGCAAAAAAACATGATCGGGACATCCCTAACATGAACAGTAGTTTAATCTTCACAACACTGAACATCTCTTAAGATAAATGTTAAGAGGTAATTTAAGTTCCCATCAGCAACATCAAAGTATTAAACATTTATCATGAATATTAACCTTGTAGCCACACACACCACTAACTATTAGCATTTACATAAGAAAGGCACTAGCTGTGCGTTAAGTTATCATTAAGGTAATGGCTAGCCAATATGACTAATAATAAAAAGATAACATTAATGTAGCAGGTAAGCAGCAAATGTAATCAGTCCTGCTCAAGTGTAATGTTATAATAGGCAGTGTTAGTTAAAGGTGTCTATATAAAGTGTATATAGGCAGTGTGAAGTGTTTGAACTGTTTCTGCAGCTAGACAGCAACAGCAGCAGTTAGAACCTAGCAGACTAACTCTACTTGATCAGCAACAAAAATATAGTGCCAAGTCAAAAGAAGCAAAGCACAATTTCAGACAATCTTAAAATATCTGTCATATTTTATTGTGGGTTTTTTGCACTAAGTCCAATAATATAGAAACAGTGTTATCATTGATGTTACAGTTTGTATTGTTGTCAGTTTTTTCATTTCATTTTCTTTCTCCACTGGCATTGAAGATGGGATTTTCTTAGACAGTGCTATTGAGTTTGAATTTCTAGTATCATAACTACTCTATAAAGCACACAGCCTCTAACCCACTGCCTAAGAGATTTCAAAATATCTGAATTTCCTTAGTGTAGATGACTACAGTGTAAATACAAGAGTTTTTGTGATCTTACTCAATCCCTATGTTTCACAAACTTTTAAGCAACACTTACTTGGAGATTATTTTAGACATTGTAGGTAAATATTGTTACTTTTCTAACATAAAAATCTTCAAAAGAAATACAAAACCTTCTAATTATTTTATATTATAAAGCAATTTCCAGCTGCTCCCTTGTCACAGGGGGCCACCACAGCGGGTAGCTTCGCATGTTTCTAAGCTGGATGCCCTTCCGGCCCCCAAGGAGATTTATGCCTCCTTCTGGGATTAAACTGAGGATCTTTTACTTGTGCTATGATATACATGATATGATATACAGTTTTATTTTGGATTTTAAAGACATTCAAATATATAAGGAAATAAACTCAAATGACAAAGAAATGTGCATTACATGAAATAAAAATTAATCGAAGCCCAAACTGGAGTACAAAGAAGTATGCACATGCTTATGCGTACCCCATGTTCAACACTGCCAATTTAGCAGGATCATCATTGTGGTACCCTCATATACATGCATATACTTGACCCACATTCATATTAGCATAAATATGAACCAATACATCTTTATACAAACATTAATTACATATTATTAAAAAAAAAATGTCAACTGAATAAAGCTTGAACATTGCAGTTGTTCCATAAATGAAAATACAAAAAACAGCAAAACTGAGGGATAGTTTTTGTTAGGTAAATCTCTAAACCACTATACTATGGAGCCACACATTCTTTTTATAGTGTAATAACATAAATAAAGTGTGGAGTGTGTGAAAACCTGATGACCAAATTTTAAGGATGTATGCCACCTGGATTAAAGGTCCAGATATAATGACTGATACAGCTGTATAAATATAACTATTTCCTGCGCTATATTTGCTTGTTTCTAAACTTGTACCGAGAGATTGTTCCCTTTCTCTTATACTGAATGAAAGCAGCAGGACAATACATGAGCCTAGAAACTCGTGAGTACAGCAGTGCTGCCCTTATAAGCGTACACAAAGTGAACGTCTTTCTTATCACATGTGTTATATCAAGTTATAAAAGTGGCACACCAACTTTATGACTGCTGTAAAGCTTCACTTTGACTTATACGGTATACAAACTCACAACAAATGTCTCGGGTTGTGCAATGCTGACAGGACAAAGACTCTCGGTGGGTAAATAGAAAACTACTATCACACCAGGTGGTAGCTAGCTTGCTAACATCTCTCATCGCTGCCCTGTGCCTGCAGTAACGGTCTGGTTAGCTAATAAGACTGAAAACAAACTTGAAGAATAGACACTAATGAAGAGCGACGCTGTACACAACTTCGCCTGAATGCTTGTGTTTCATAAAATACAGTAATGCTCGCGGTTGGCTTAGCTAGTTGAGGAGCAAGCTTAACTTTTAGCAGACAGCTAGACACCAAGCTAATGCTAGCAAAGCTTTCTTTGACACAACATTGCGAGATATAAATGGCGACAAAAATCTGAAGTGTTTTAAGTGTTGACGTCTTCATCTTATAGAAGCATAAGAGTGTGTAGCGCAATGTCTAGTGTATTCGTTTGATGACTATAGCCATTACTACAACTTGTCTAACCTTTGTCTCTTGTCATAAACAAGTGTTTACACAGTCAGCTGTGGCAGCGAGCTAACCGGCCGAAAGTTAGCCACACAGCTAACGTTAGCTACATAGCCGGGCTAACGACAGCCAACAGTTTTGAGGAGTCGTTTAGAACCTGACCTTATTTAATGAAACTGCAACATGTCAAGACCCCTTCGTTTAATCTGTAAAGCTACGCCTGGTGAACACATAAACTTACATATTCTAACTTTAAAAAGCAATATTTAAGTACACAAAACAATGAAGATTTTGCTAACCTCCACTGGCAGCCATTCTCTCCAGTCTGTCTCAGAGCAGACCGACAGAAACGTCAAATGAGTGCAGAGCGGAGCCCCGGAAACAAGGAACAGCCAATCGCAAGAGGAGAACGGATCTCAGAGCCAATCATTTTCCTTTTTTCTGAAATAGGAAAAAGTTAATACTGCATGGATAAATTACACACAGGGCACTCGGTTAGAGCCAACCAAAAGAAGTCAAATCAGCAGTATCTAAACAGGTGCATCCAAAGCAGAGGTTGTTTTCATATATTGGTGGGAACAGTGGAGGTAGACATAAGTTCACCTGCAGGCAAAAGGCTAACTGCACATGGGGATAAACACATTACAGTAGCGTCTTATTCTACAATGTACAACATGCTTTTTTGGTTTGCAGAAGAGTGCTGTTATTGATTTATAGCGCTGAAATGAAAGCTATTTAGACTTCATATAAATAGTGCAACATGAACGCTGAAAAAATAGATGAGTATTTTTTCAGTGTAATATAATAAGAAAAAACATTGCATGCCATATAAAAATATTGTACGCATCAATTATATTATATCGACATAGATTAATATTGCTGGAAAATATATTTTTAAATAGCAAAGATAATAATGCATTTTACTGTAACAAGTGTAGGCAAAAGACTCCACATTCTTGACAACCATGTGGTGACACATGTTAAGAGCCATAACCAAGATGTTTTGTGGATTGTGGCATCCTTGCATTTAGCCAGCAGGATGGACACATTTATGTTATGTTCCAATGCAGATCTTGTAGTAACATATGCCATAGGAGGCAAATGTTCAAATCAGCGTGACAGCGTATATTTTGAAGGTTAATCAACATTCATTGTGACTGCATGCCTAATTCTAGACATATGATCTGTTTCTAGTACTTCAATATCTTGGGGGGAAAGTCTAAACACCAATGAAACACCCTACAATCCAGTGTTGCATTACCTTTATTGTCTTAATAAATAGTAAATCTGCTGTTAACCCCTTAGCAGTCCAATTAGTCCCCTAAACCATCCAATGTCCCGTGGGCGGTACGTCCGACTGCTAAGGGGTTTTAAATTGCATGTCAGTGATGGGGGCCACACGACTTTGTTAGTAGATAATCCCTTGCACCTCACATGCAACCCTATGTAAAATACATTATCTTACCTTACAGTACACCTTTTAGCTGTACCTTACAATTACAGTTAAAAGTACAAATACTTTGTTACCGTACAGAGCAGTATCTGTACTTAACATAAGGTTTGTTTCTGACCAGCTTTTTACTTCCTTCGTTTTTACACAAATATCTCCTTTCTACTCCTTACATTTTCATTACTTGTTTATTACTGTAGGTTAAAGACATTTGTGGGCAGTTATTATTTCATGTCACTGCACACCTTCAAGTTGATTTGAATCTGAACAGAGGGAACAATAACACACAGAAGACAATTTCTGGTGTATCTATCACCAGTTATCAGGATTTGTGATATGGTAACTATAAAATAAAGAAATGTCCTGTTTTGCAAGTTCCCTTATGATCTGCAGCATAGCACCTACTCTGTGTTTGATACCTAATCAATCTAATCCAGTCCTTTGTGGCCACTTAAAATATGTTTATAGAGCTGTGATGTTATATTTGTTGCCGTTTCTGCTGCCCTCTTTTTCCTCTTACCTGGATACGTAAAGGATATTTAAAAGTCAAAAATTGATTGCAAATTCTACTTTGTGATACGAATAATCTTTCATTGATTTCAAATGCAGATTTCAAACAGGTAAACAAATATAAAAAAACACACACACAAACTGTCTTTCTGTGCAGTTTCTAACTAAATGTATAGTTGCTGTAACTTCACTCACAGATGGAGATGGGGTTGAAAGAAAGACACGACAGGAGAAGAAGAAGAGATTGTTATTAAAGGGTAAGACTGCTCAGTGACATTTGATAGTCTAGAAGGTTAAAGCTTCTGTAATGTGCCATCTTTTGGATGTTGGATCTATACCTGATGTGCTGCTGGATTTCTATTTCATATTGTGAAATATCTTGCAAAACAAAGTGAAGTGTACCTTATCCAAGAGTAGCAGAAATCCAATTAAATTTAAGGCGATGATGCTGATTATACCAGCTTGATACTGCTGGTAGCTGCGGCAACATAACATATTTTTATGTCTGGTTAAATTGACAAAAGCAGTGAATCTCAGAGCAGCAACAACATAAGTCAGCATCACAAGTCACAGCCTGTACACAAACTGTACAGGCGCTCACAATGCCAATCTTAGGAACCTGCTGACTCACTTTAACCTGTGACTGTACAAATTTTTCTGTTCAATGCATTTTTAAAAAATTCTCTTGGTTTTTCTCTGCTTATGTTCAGCATACATTGATTTGATTCATTAGAATTAGAATTTTAGTTGAAATACTTCCCATGTATTAATATTATTTTATTAATATGACACAAGGTTTAGTCTGCTTTGCAGAGAAAAACATCTGGTAGAAACGTCCTCAAAGAGCTACTTTTTACTTTTACATTCGAGTACATTTCAGTGTCTATACTTTACTGAAGTGACAAATATTTGTACTTTTGCTACCTCTGTACGTAAGTTAACGTTCATGTTAAATGATCTTATTTTACCAATTTTGGGAAGGTGCTCCTGCTGCTGGCCTGGATTGAGCCAAAGACTGATTGTATCCTCTGTGAAATCCCTGGTTCACGCCAAGACCATATGCTTCCATGTGTGAAACCTTCTAAAATAATGACTTCTATTTATGGTTAACCTGCCTTTGCCTTATGTGCTGTCTCTTGGCCTCAGTGAAATGATGCCGACCATTCTTGTTACTGTGTGTACGTGTTCTAAGCACAGTTTAGAGCTCAGTACTCAGTATTTCTCATGTATTTAAATAGCCAAGAAACATGGCTGCCGGGTCAGAGAAACAGGTGCTCACGATGTCACAAAAGCATGATGATGAAATGGCTTCAGGTTATTGCCACAGTTGTCCTCATACACCGCACTCAGTCAGTAACTGCAGAGTCCCAACACCTTGTAAATGATGCTCTAGGAACTTCTTCAAGATCTTTATCTGTCCTGAAAATGTTCTCCAGCTATTTTTTTGAGCATGTCCTTCATGGTTGCCAGGTGCTGAAGAACTTGCAGGAAAGCTAACTGTATGTCAAACAGTGGAAATGTTGTGCTGTCGGTCAGTTACTACATCATACCTTGAGAGCAGGTAATTGTTAGGTTGTGGTTCATGAGCTTCATCTCCTCCAAAAAACACCACCACTGCCCTATAGACATCCAACCAGCTAATGAAGGCTGCTCCCCTACACCCTGAGGTGCAGGCAGGACTCTCCCAACACTCAACCACTAACTAAAAGCTACATCTTTGCTCATTTTACTTTCTTTTCATTTGCTTTCTAAGAGCAGAAGGTCCTTCAGTGGGTCCACCTCTCATTGCTCTAAGGCCAGACACACAAACCCATACCTCAGCAGCCTGCTCTCATCGCACCCCCCACTCGCTGACCCACATGGTCACATGTACTTTGTTCCCACTCTCCATCTCATCTTCACTCCTATAACTTTGAGTGCTGAAAGGCTGTGAAAGGCTGGAAGAAAACTACATACAGATTCATGGATAGGTTATCTTACCATTCCCTAGTCTGCATGCAGTACACATTCACATCTGAATGCCACTTGAGTTCAAGACATACATTTCAAGCACTTTGACACATTGAAAAATACATTGTCATTGTCAGATTCTGTACATTGTCTCCTTTTAGATGTGGTCATTGAGCTTAACATTGAGGGAAAGAAGGCCCTTTTCACTTTCTTACTACTCTTGTCCAGTCGTCTATCAGCCTGTTCTGTCTGTGTCCCTTTTTTTT